TTCTATCCTACATACTGGCATACAAACACCTGGCCTACATATGTGGCTTAACAAACACCTGCCTACACACTGCTTACAAACACGCTGTCCTACATACCTGGCTTACAAACACCTGGCACTACCAATGGTTTCTGCGTACATGCCCTACATGCTTGCTTACGCACACCTACCTACATACTTATTATACTACATGAATACATGCTCTGTCTACAACATGAAATTTACAAATGCGCGAGCGTTGAAGAAAAAAAATAAAAACATGGTTTTATACCTAATATATTTTCTCGTAGTTTTGTTCCAGTTTCTCGCTGTATCCATGTCAGAAAATCGTAGCAATCTTTTCGAATTTTTTTTAAGTCTCATACGTCCGGGAGAAGATTTTTAGTGTAGAAAATTATTCATTTATCATCATTTTTGTAAGCCTGGTTCACAGACCAGGCTGCGGGGCTTGACCCCACTGAAACCTTCTCCGGGTTATACTCCAGGTAAGTGCAATATTTTCTTCTATGAAGGATAGTCCAGTAAAGCTAACAAGACGCTGTCAGAGACGTAGATAGAAATATTTATAATGTTTTTTTTAATCATGGAAAAATGGTAAACCCGTGTGATCACATTGCATATGGGGAATGGGAGGCAATGAGGTTCTGTTCACGGGACGAGGACAAGAGAGGTACAGCTACCTTTATATCAAGAGCCCTTTTAATAAAGAACAACCTCGTTAATTATCACGAGGTTACCTGTTTGGTCAAGAGCGATTTGATAAAAGGCCAAACTGACAGAGACGTGTCGTGTTTAAATAAATATTGCTCAGTATTGCCTTTGTTTTACTAAACTGTTTCTCTTTTCTTTTTTTCTCTATAAAACGCTATTCTATCATAGAGAAATCTAGACATTTTTTATCAAATCAGTTCAACATCACAGAATGCATAAGGAATTGTTATTAAAAAAAAAAGAATACATAAGCTTTTTACTCTCGAATACATATCGGAGGGAATAATATCGTAGGAAATAAATATCGAGGGAAAATAATTACGAGGAAATAATATCGGAGGGAATAGATTGAAATTCTTCAACTGCAGATATTACTGTCACTTCTTACAAAAAAACGGAAGCAAGATACTAGGGCCCCACAAAATTGCCAAATGAGGAACAGGGATGCATTATTATTATACAATCAAGGGGGAAGCGCTAAACCCGGAGGATTAACAGCGCCTGGGGGGGGGGGGATGTGGAAGGCATTCAGCTTAATTTTGGGGAGACTGAGCACAGATCCAATTCCCTAAATCAAGAGCCCCTCACAACATCATGGAACCTTCCTTGAGGGAAACAGGATGCAATAAGTATACAATGTGAAATTATGATAGATTTGTGAGTACAAGCACCCTGAACTTGCAGGATGATGGCAGCGCCTGTAGGGAAGAGATGTAACAAAAGTAATCGGTGGAAGGAGATGTTGGTTACCCATATTTCTTGAATCTAGAGCCCTTCCGCCTGGAACCCTCCTGAAGGGAGACGTTAAAAGAGATAAAAAATATATGCCTTGCCCAGTTATAAAATCCCAATCCTACAACGCTATACGCGAACGTATAACATCACAGATAAAAATAATTAATTTACACATTAATCCTGCAATAAATAATGATGGTTAAATACCACAAAAATTGCATCCATATCCATCGACACAAAATGAATCCGTGTTATCAATAAGCATATTGGAAAATAGCATTAGAAATCCAAAATTCCTTCCATGTTAAAATATATAAATCATTTTATATTTTTTCTTGGGGTAACAGAATAGGGTAAAGGCCTGGTCACAGACCGGGCCGCGGGGGCGTTGACCCCCGGAACTCTCTCCAGGTAAACTCCAGGTAAATCCCACGAGGCCTATTCCACAGAACAGAATCCAAATGTTGAATTATATCAAAATCTACAACTCAGCCGAAAATATAAAGGGGTAATAGAAGAGGGTAATATCCCAGGAGACTAACTCGACAAATCACATTCCAAAATTCGTTCCACATCAGAAGCCACAAATCAATCAGAATTTCTAGGAAAACGACAAAGCCCACACAGGACATTACTAAGGAATGTGAGTGAAGAGGTGTGTGGGTAGTGTTATCATGTGTGACCCTAGGATAGGAAAAATAACTCCAACTCCTCGAATTATGAGACCTTTACTATAGTCTAGGTATTTCCCCTTGGAAGGTTCTTTTATTATATAAAAATCGATAATTTAAGTACCTAGTTTAGTTTTTTTCATTTCTATTTTAATAATGGAGAACGCTAAATCCTTCAGTGATCCAGTATTATCTTCGGTGGGACTGATTCCCTGAGATTTTATCTACGATTTGCTATCTGAACTGTGGAGAACTTTTCTTAGTGAAATTAATAAATATTTCGACTTTTATTTTTTTTATGAGGGATCGAGATGTTTTTAGCAATGAGAATCCCGGAGCTTTATTGCTTATTAAGGTTGAGTTCGTCTTCTTGCAAGTATGTGCTGCTGACATTCAATGCTGGAAGCGTGTGGGCGTGGCACAGTTGGCTCTCCACGCGCATTAACGCCCACCTCAACCCCTTAATGATTGATGGCTCTCTCACGGCTGACCCGGGCGTTTGTTTGCTCAGTTCACGAAATTTTTCTGAAAATGTGGTTTTGGCTATGAACTTGTGACTTAGAAAGCTCACTTATCAAATAAAGATCAGTTCTTATCTTCATGCACGTTCGATGCACCAGTTTTGAAAGTTTGAAGTCAATCAGAAGACGCATTCTCCAGTTATCGCATGAAATCTAATATCCCGATATGTTTATTCAGAAAAGCAAATTGGGATATACATAGCTGATTAGCAATTCAAACCTTCCTTCAATTTTTAGCACAGAAAAATCGCCATAAGTTAAGTAAACATGACATATCGGTACCTAGTTTAATAACACAAAATCTTCTTCTAGGGTACAGGAGATTGATTATTATACCATGTGAACAACTTACATAGCATTGATACTACACAGGCCAATAGTAATCCGAAACCTTCTTTAATTATACCAACTTTGTAACTTGGAAACCGATTAAAAAAAAAATGCGTTCCCGAGAGGCCCCTACGCTAAGCCACAAAGTCAGATTTCTAAACTTATTTACCATACTGATCTGTGCATTATTTAACGTGATATATTAGAAAAAACATTAAGCAGAAAAAACACGAAACGTCTGAACTGAAGCTATTAATTTTAATAATTTTTTTTTAAATTTAAATAAGAATTATTATATAAAACGCTCAAGAGAAATGTGTGAAAAATTCTAGTGTTGATTTACAATTTAGAGACCAACAGAAATGTAATTTTTCCTACAAGACCCACAAGCATTGAAAATCTGAAGCCGATGTAATGAAATATTATAAAGCAATAAGTCCAAAACCAATAAGACATTTGAAATCTATTGAAATTAACGGTTCGAAACCTACATAGTCCAAAACCAATCCAACTTCGGATATTAAAGCATTCGAGTTAAAAATCGAACCTTCAAAAGAGCCATTATCTATTAATTTCACGGAATCGAATACACATTTAAGATTGGCAAAACGGGACTGCAAATCGCATATCGGCGTAGACGCTCTCTTTAAAGAACATACCCAAGTACCATAAGTTTAGTCGATCGAAGTGTCATTTCACATTCAATGAAACATTGGTCAAATATTTTTCAATATTGTAATAATGGAGAGCTCAAATTACATAACCAAACTTATAATGAAGCATCTTTGAAAGTGTCATTCATCTCACTTGAAGACTAACGCTTAGCAGACTTCCACAAGGTATTTTTAATGCATATTTAATACCAAATATTAGAAAGTTAATTGAACAAATGGCCTAAAACTCTATAATGAAATCTACTTTTTGCTTACGTATGATCATCATCATATTGAAAGTTGAAGCGCTTGCAGAGCATTTCTCAGTAGGATTTATGCAATTAATACAAATCTTATGGCTTATATACAAAATGGTCTCGTTAAATCTATGTAATCTAAGTCTTTTAGTTGATGGCACCAGTGTTTGAAAGTTGAAGTCCATCGGAAAATGGTTATCAATACGACACAATAGAATATAAACACAAGCGTTATGTGATCCTTTATGACTATTTCGCCACAAGGGTTCAAGTCACACAGATGTTGTGACTTGAAGCCCATGTGGCAAACGTAGTCATAAACGTCATTTATTATGCATTGTGTTTATATTTCCATAAGATAATTCAACACCCTCTCTATATTTTTATTCGGAATAATCCTATCCCGTAGTTCAGTGATTCTCCACCAGGGGTTAAATTTACCCCTTGTGGGTAAAAAATTACATGGCGAAGGGTAAATATTTGATGTATCTGATAAGTGAAAGATAATTATGTCTTTAGAAAATTATGCTTTATATTTGTATTTTTGGTGATACGAATGTATATTGGTATTTTTGTGCAAAACCTGAATAATTGAAACACTTGTGTAACATATGGGAATCTTTATTGAAGAAACGTTTCGCCACACAGTGGCTTCATCAGTCCAATACAAAGTAGAAATGGGTAAGGAAAGGAGGAATTTGAAGTAATCAGTCCTCCTCTCCTTACCCATTTCTACTTTGTATTGGACTGATGAAGTCACTGTGTGGCGAAACGTTTCTTCAATAAAGATTCCCATATGTTGCATAAGTGTCTTAATTCTTCAACTTGTCGGTTTTTAAAACCCATTCATCACACACAAAACCAGAATAATTTATTTTTTTCTGACCCTTTATGCTGGCGATAAATTTTTTTGTATATAAGGAGGTAAATGGAGAAATACATCAAGTCGAGGGTGTTAACGATGAAGGAAAAATTGAGAATCCTTGCTATAGTTGCTAATAAATGGCAATAATATCTGTATTGTCGACAAGCGTGAGTAGCCTTTTATTTAATTTACACTACTGCTTATTGTCTCTGAAAGGAGAATCATAGTCCAAGAATGTTGCTCTTAAAATTTTTCAGACGGGGGTAGTGAGCGTGAGCGTCAGTGCTGATGGTGGCGGTAGCGGGTAGCGACCAGAACTCTCCGCAATCACTCTGTGGGTGGTGACCAGCTATAGAGTTGTGTTGCAACGCTAAGAACGTCAACAAGTCTTCATGCTGCTCTGAAGTTCACGAGCAGCCTGGCAAATCCAGCAGCGATGATTAAGTCTTATTTTGTGGAGGCAGCTGTTATAACGTTGCTGATGGGCACTGCTGTGTTGGCTGAAGAATTTATGGTACAGGGTGTTGCTCGTAACCTGACCGTCCGTCAGGAAGGGGAGGAGGAGCTGGAGCAGTTAATGGATCTTCTGGCAATCCAGTACTCACGCACGTGCCTAATGGTGGAAGTGGGTGATACAGGGTTCTTTGACAGTTACTGGGGAAAGCCCCGCATCGTCATCAACTCTAACAGCAGCCAAGCCAAGAGTACTGTCGAGTTCATCAACGAGTACACTCAAAGGGTGACAACGCACGCGTGTGTGACGTATTTGATAAAACATCTGCCGGGAACCGAGCTGTTTTCTGTCATCACTGATGTCTCTAAAAAACAAACGAGTCGCTATTTCATTGCCCATGCTACCAGCGTCTTAAAAGCTCACGAATTTCTCTTGGACGTCCGTTTAAGCAAGGAAGAACACGTGGCAGCCCTGGTGAAGGAGGAGGACCACAGAGGATCATTTTGGCAAGTGCTCACTCGCCAACTACTTCATCCATCAGGCTCACCGCACGTCCTGCACGCGAACGAGTGGTCGAAAGATAAAGGTTTCTACAACACAGACGAACTTTTTCCTGAGCAGATGGGTAACTTTTATGGGATGAAGCTCATTGGCGTTACTCTCGACTTCCGGCCCTTCACAGATTACGGAAAATTCCTGGCTCCAGGAGGGTAAATCCCAAGCCATCGCTCGACGTCTTCATCCTGAACGAAATCGCAAAAAGACTTAATTTCACATACGACTTAATCATGCCGGAAGATGGCCTCTGGGGTGTCCTCAAAGACAACGTAAGTAACTTAGCGACAGTTATGCAATGATACTCAATTTATTGATGGTTACATTTAGTCTTATACAAGGTTCAAGATTTAGATATTTTGCTAACAATTATAATGAAAAACTATTAATGATTTTTCATCATTATCAGCAGGAGGAGGCGCAATGATACCGGTTCTAAGTCTTCATTAAGAGTAGTTTTGCGATCATATATTTTAAAGTACTGACAGCACCAAGATAACGTATTATATAATTAGGTGGATGGGGATCTTCGGGTTACAATAATTCTAAAATTAAATGAAGCGAGTGAAGAGGCAAAATAAATTACTTGTGAGATGTGTATTCAGTAATAAATCTTCGTTACTCGGCCATGAGCCGCCCTTCGATAACAGAGGACCTAAAGTGGAATATATCTAATTAACAAGACGTGTATTAAATTCACATCAGTCGAACAGATTGTTTTCAACTCTCCTGACTAGGTTAGATGAAGCCAATGATCTTTTTACTAAAGTTAGGTAATAATGAAATGAAATTTAAGTAAAATGTGAAAAAAATAATGTCTGCATTCTTTTGTTTTTTAAATGTGAATGTTGAAGTCGGTGGATCACGGCTGGATCTTGATGTCTGCGCCCCTTTTTGGAAAGATAGAAAATGACAACAAGTAATGGTGTAAATATGTATATTTCATTGGGTCACCATGCATTGGTAGGAGACAGCCGGTAGGTTAAAAATTATATTTTACTGGCAAGTTTCGATTCGTCTCCAGTATCTCCCAGCTTTAATACATTTCCATAGCTTATAAGACCAACGTGAACTTTAGGAAAAGAAGACGATTAAGTTCTGGAGAGCATTTAAGAATATGAATTACACACATGTGGAACATCTGGGTAACAATTCGTAGACCTTTCGCCATCCAGTGGCTTTATCAGTTCATTACATGGACATATTTAAACTATATACAACAAAAGTGAAAGATGAGGTTATCAGTCCCTCAGCATAGTAAAGATACCCAGATGTTGCACATGCGTCTAATTTATCATCTTGTCAGTATTGTACATCACTCATATACACATACTGATTGAGTACGATGGAGAAGACACACAGATGATAGCTAACAACACCAACCAGTCCCACGGTCTCAGTAGTAAGAAGGTATAACGATCTCAGCGTGAAAGAATTGGGGTGAAGTATACAGGTTTTAAGAGTATCTGTGATAAGGCTCAAATGACGAGAAATCACTAATGCCGGTCGATGATACTTAAGGAAGAGCGGACAGGAAACTCAAATTCAACAGCTTCATAAGTGAACATACCTAAACATTCCCCATCAATCCCCACACGCTACACACACACACACACAACACACACTACACACACACTACACACACTATACACACACTATACACACACACTATATACACACACTATACACACACACTATATACACACACTATATACACACACACACAACTACACACACACACTACACACACACATTAAACAAGTGGACAGAGACAAGATGTTCCAGAGAGGGGACACAGAAACAAGGGGTCACTCTTGGAAGTTGATGACTCAAGAACGAAAGTCACAAGGGAGAGTAGGAATCAGTCTTCAGTCATAGAGGGTCAGGAAGTGAACAGTCATGCGACGATAAGCTATGAGCAGACCATACAACTTAAGACGAGTATATAAGCCAGAGCCAGAGCAGACGACACTCAAACATTAGGTCAGTACAAGAGACGGTCCAGGACACAGAACAGACACCTGAAACTACACTTTAGGCAAGTCACATCTAGGCAGAGTACACACACACACACACACACCAACACACTACACACAACACTAACACCATACAGAACAAACTACAACTACACACAAACACAACACATCACCGACACACACATTAGGCATACATACACACACACACACCACTTACACACACACTCTACATACACACACTACACACACACTACACACACAACACTACACACACACACTCACACACCACACACACACACACACACACACACCTACACACACACTACACACACACACACACCTACACACACACACACTACACATACACACACTACACACACACACACACACACAACTCACACACACACACTACACACACACACTACACCACACACCTACCACACAACACACACACTACACACACACACACAACACACACACACTCTACACACACACCACACACACCACACACTACACCACCACACTACACGCCACACACTACACACCACACACACACTACACGACAACTACACGCACACACTACACACACACCACACACTACACACACACACTAAACACACACAGACTACACGCACACACACACCACACACTACACCGCACAGACTACACGCACACACTACACACACACACACTATACACACGCACACTACACACTACACACACACACTATACACACGCACACACACACACACACACTACACACACACACACTACACACACTACACTGTCGGATGTGAATGATGCAGAGGCAGAGTTTGGAAGCGCCCAGTCAAAGCTTGAAACAATAATCTCGAGAACTGAGTAATGAACGAGTCAAGTTTTGAGGAAGTTGTCAATAAAGTCAGGCATTCAGAAGCTGAGTGATCGCTATTCTATAAAAAATTATCCATCCTACGATTTCTTTCAATCTTTTTTTTAGATTGTTGAGGATTCATCAAACTTGTATCCTCATGAAACTCACTATTTTAATTAATATTATTACATTTATGGGAAAAGACAAGAGCTGTGAGGATCATACAGTGACTGGTAATGAGTGATAATTAGATCTGCTGCAAGAAAGGGAGGTACTCTGTTTGGATCAAGAGCCTTTCTTCTAACTCGTTCTCCTTAGGTAATGTCGATTTCTCGCACACGATTTTTTGCAAATTTCTCGATATATTTTAAGTTAAGTTTCATTAGGTTGTTATCTATGAGCATAATCTAACCAATTATGAAATATAACATCAGCAGATGCAATAGCACAAAGGCGATGGAAAATACCGATGCTCGGACAAACTACCTACCAAGCGCATGTTAAAATACAGTAAAATAGCTATATTATTTCGGTAGCTGTGCGATTCGAGAAACGTATCCCCGTATTGCATAACCCCAGCCCCCTGTACTTCAGTGCAAACGAAAGGAATAGTGCAAAGTGCGGTATACTTTTCAAATCTAATTCAATATTAGCGTTGCAGATCTGAAAGCAAATTAGAAGAGATATTCACAAGTTATTATACACATAGTAATAAATAAAGGGGGATTACCAATAGACTCCTGATTGTCTTCAAGAAGGCACTGGACAGACACCTAGAGTCAGTTCCTGACCAGATGGGCTGTGGTTCGTACGTCAGTTTGCGTGTGGCCAGCAGTAACAGCCTGGTTGATCAGACCCTGATCCACCACGAGGCCTGGTCTCAGACCGGGCCGTGGGGGCGTTGACCCGCGAAAGCCTCTGCAGGTATACTCCAAGTATACCCAATTTCTTTAATAAAAATAAGAAATTAGGACATACGTAGCCCACAGTTAATTTAAACATTCCACTAAGAAACAGCGTTGAAGCCAATCTGAGGAGACTGAAGAGGCATTCTCTTGTTATTTCAGAGAAACCAATATCTTAAAATACACCAGACCATTAAGTTTGAAGCCGCTCAGAATTTACCGTATCAAATTATTATCATTAAAGTCATCAAATTATTACCATTAAAGTCATCAAATTATTACCATTAAAGTCATCAAATTATTACCATTAAAGTCATCAAATTATTACCATTAAAGTCATCAAATTATTACCATTAAAGTCATCAAAGTCAATCGGATGAGGCACTTTGAATTTATAGCATAAATATTAGCACTTCAAGTTTCCCCAGTTTCTTTACTGAAAAAAAAGTGATTTTGATCGGTACAGGTCAATATCAATTAAAATTTTTCTCAAAATATTGACCTTAAGATTTAATTAACTATGCATTCAAGTAAGTTTCATTTCATCTTTGAGCGTTTAATAGAATTTTTTTATAATGTCTCGATGGCATAGAGAGGTCTTCTTCTTCTTCTTCTTCTTCTTCTTCTTCTTCTTGTTGATTCGCCGGTACTTCCGGCCCGGGTCTTCTCCAGATGGTGACCCGGCGGTATAGAGAGGTTATATGCATATTAATGTATATTATATAGATATAACCTATGATAACTCGGTAAAGGCAAACACTGTGACTTATTTCTGATCAGAGGAGATTTTCTCCCGTTGTTTCGAAAAAAAAAACGATTTGGATAATAAAATTGGCCTATTAAAACAACAACTACTACACTATTTCGAGATTAAAAGTGACAAAGTAACATCTATACACTCCAACAGCATCACCAACCTTCTTCGAAGACCTTTTTTTTTTTGAAGGTACCTCATGGAAACCTGTATCGGGAATAGTTTGTAATAAACTGACCAAAGGCAACTGTCAATTGTTCCACAAACCTTCCCTTAGTAATAGTGGACCAGAGTTGGTAATTTGAAGACAATGTGATATGTCTTTCTGATGTTATAAACAAAAGCCTCAGGGGAAATTAGAGTTTAATGAAAACAGTGCATCTAAAAACGTGCAGTCCTCTGAGGAATTAAGTTTTGTAATATTTAATGCTTACTAAACTTGAGAAATTTAAAAACGTTATTTAAGCGCGAGTTTTAATATTTCTCATTTGTTTTGTGTAGTGCTTATCTAATTAAACTTCTTCAGAATCTTCCAAGGAAAAAAAATAGATTTTGCATTTTTAAAGAAAGTTGAATTTGGTAAGTCAATAAACTTAGAAAATTAAGATGTTTAAAGAACAAATTCAATACAGAAATTTGCTTCCAATTATGTTACCCTGGAGCTTAAAAATTTGAAGTCATCCATAAATACCATTCTCTGGCTATTACATAGAAGCCAATTTATTTAATAAAACTGGCAGCTTAAAATTTATATAGCTCAAAGTGAAAGTCAAATTTCCTTCTAATAAAGCCCATCACCACTGAAAGTTTGAAGCCTAAATAACTGGTATTCTGAAGTAATTTGGATTAATCTATCGAGTCCAAATTCATTTATTTTCATTAAAATTTTCAAATTTGCATCTTAACAGCACAAACTTATATTCCTTATGGAACGTTTGAAGCCGATAAGACGAGGCGTTTTTTAGTTAGTGACTGGTAATCAATATCAATATATGTTTAATAAAATTAACAAATTGAGATTCATGCAGCCCAATAACAGCGCAAATCTTGCTTTCTGGAAAACTCACCTGGGCTAAAAATTTGAAGCTAAAAATTTGCCGGAATACAAACTAAAATTAATGGATCTATCCTGGCCAAAAAAAGCATCAGCTGTAAAATATTGGAGCCATTTAGAAGAGGTTGACACATATTAAGCGTGATTAAACGGGGTAAAAAATTTCACTATTTTACACATAACATTGGGAGATGTGCACTTACACATATGAATTTTACTCACTGTTGTCGTCGATTAGGGGAAGGGGGAGAGGGACGCCTTTCCTGATTAGGGAAGTTATCCGAGTTATTCCAGGATGCTGGGAAGATGTTCAACAACTTTGGTCATAGGGCATCTACACGTGCCAACTGTTCCTAGAACTTTGCTCTAATTCTCTTACAAGAGCGGTGAAAATTCGAAAACGATCGAATGAGGCCTTGTGTCATGAACACATTTTTTGACAAACAATATCTGAAACACTTGCAATAAGGAACTGCAAATTACAACTTCATAAAACCAACGCACACCAGAGCCGTTATGTCTTCATGGCACAGATGAAAACACACTTTTGTTGTTTATAATTGAGTTTTTGCTTTTCTCTCAGCCGCCGGCGTAGTGACACATGATCCCATTAGTTAATCGTAGACGTGCAGAAACTTAAGGTTGATTACTGGCTGCATGGTCGACTGACTGCATGAATTATCACTTTCTGGCGTAAGGCAACAATTGGTTATGGCTCGGTGGATTTCACTGCCCATGGATTTTTTTGTAAAAACTTGCGTTAGAGAAAACGATGGAGTTATTAGTGAAGTAGTGGAAACTGCTAAGATCAATTATATACAGAGTAAATAAAATGCATGTACCGATCTCTACATAAAGCTTATACCTGGTCTGATGTCGCAAATGTCTACACTGACAGAGACCTTGGACGCAAATGCACATTTGGAAGGAACGTCAGTTGCTCGCACGGATACGAACTCGGGTGTAAACACAGGGGACACAAACCAATTTGATAATTAGAATGGTCACATTACAACTAATACAACCTAGAATCAAGACCAAGTTTCCTTCGTGGAAAATATATCACCACCGACCAGAAGGGGCATTTTCCAGTTATTGCTCAGAATCCCAGAAAATGCGCAACTATTCAGCCTACACCCAAGAAATGTTTCGCCCATTTCATTATTATTATTATAACTAAGAGTTAAATCATCAGGATCATACAAGTGCTGCATCCACTTCATAAGATGAATCATCCATTAAAGATTAATGCCGCTCACAGTTGTGATGTATTTTGGGATGCTGGTCTCTAAGAGTGCCTCCTCGTTCTGTCTATGTAGCATTTAAATTAGGTTTAGACTGTGTATATTCTAAGTTGCTATTTTATTTGAAGAAATTGAGATATTTGTGACCATATGATAACCTGTGAGTACCATCTCTGATGTACCTCAAGATTACTAATATCAATGTTTAAAGGGGTTGACAGGTAAGCCAGCGGAAGGCGTCGGTCAGATGACCGAAAGCTCCAGTGGCGGGTCATCATATGACTAAGACCCGCGTCAGGAATACTTGTCCTGTTTCCTAACGAATCTTACTAAGTATTTCAGTAAAATTTCAAATTTGCCCCTATAGAGAATATACTTGTGGGGTATAATCCTCCTTACAGCATGCATCATTAATATTTTGAAAGCAGATCAGAAGCATTCTATAATTATGACAGACTGGGCCACGGGGCCGTTGACCCCCGAAACCCTCTCCAGGTATACTCTAGGTATGCCAGAGAACAACAGTGAGAGTCATACATTTAGCAAACCACAACAATGCTGAAAATTTAAGTCAATCATGGATTCTAACGATTACAAGTTTTTTTTTTAACTATTTACCATTTACGTAAATTTGCTGCACACCAACAAAACTTAGTAGGTACTGTCCTCTATGTAAGATTTAGCGGTCATGAAATATTGAAGCCATTCAGAAAGTGTAAACTTTAACCCGATTTAACTAGAACAAAGATAAAAATTTCACATTATTTTATGCAGAAAATGGACGGATCTGCGTCTGCACACTTAAATTTCTTTCTCCACTTAAGTCCAATTAGGAAGCATCTTTTTCAACGTTTGACTCAATGCTGCTGAGTGTTTTGCAAGTTATCAAAGCCATTCCAGGATGTTGAGAATGGATTCAATAATTTTTGTCATAGGGCAAAAGCACATGCCAATTGTGCCAAGAATTTTGTCCTAGTTACCATACACTAATGTTGAAAATTTGAAGCTGATTAAATGAGACCTTGAGTTATAACCGAGAGAAAAACAAAAAGAAGAAAAAAATTCTGGCAACTATTTAAAGGCCTCCTTTCGGGGATACATAACAGAAAAAATAACAGTTGTAATCTAGCTTCACGAGTTCTTTATAATCTACGAATTCTCTCCACCACTTAGTGTGACCGACATGCTCCTCAGTGCTCCCAGATTACATTTTATTTTTTTATAAGGCAAAGACTAAGATTGCTTTTCTTCTAATATGTTTAATGTTTACCTCTTCCACTCACCACCATCTTTTACCAAAACACGACTGCATTCTATATGCCACAATTTTAGTCCACGTTTAGTCCTATTACCAACCAAGAGCCACAACCAAACTCCCCTAACTTAAGCTTGTTCATATTCCAAGCATCCTTCACTCCGAAGGCTGTTATTGCACCATTCCACTCTCAACACTTCTACTGCACCAATTTAAGGCTTTTTCCGTTTTGAACAGTATTACTGCAACATTGTAAGACTATATTATGAACTTCGGCAGGGACACTGGGTTGGTGTGGTCGGGGATGTGGAGTTCGGGCGAGCCAACTTCTCATTGGTGTTGTCGGTGACACTGGAGCGACGGATGAGCGTGGACTTCACCCGCAGCTACTACCTCGACCCTCTCACCTTCGTTACCGCCAAAAAGCGTCCCCAGCCGCCCTGGCTCAAGCTCATCACCCCCTTCAGTGGTGAGTGGCGCAGGAGAAACAGAAGGGAAATAAGATGAAATAAAAAAATTGAGATGAGAAAAGGTAGAGGGAGAGAGGGGCCTGATTTCGAATTCAATTCAGGCTGGAATGATCCGAGTCCAGTTACAAACTTCTGTTGTCCTATGTAGTCTCCACCACGTCTTGTGTTGAATGATCCGCAGGGGTATAGCGCTTAACATGAATTAAAACATTACTGTCTTCTTGTATTACATTATTCTCCTATGTGTACACAGTAATGTTACCCTGTATATCATTTCACTGATGGAAGATATCGTGGAAATTATTTCGCTGGCAAAGTTCTCGGCTCATTACCTTTTAGTAATGAGCTCAGAAAGTAGACTTGCTAATGCCTCCCCTAAGGATTATACAGAGCTTTGGATATCTGATATCTGGTTTAATCCAAGGCTGGTTCCAAGGATAAAAATTTGCTTACCTATTCCCGTGAAGATTCAGTGTTATAAAAACGAAAGTAATATTGCCTTAGCTGGAACAATTCACAAATGTACTTTTTTTTTTTAATTAACTGCGAATTCCTGTGCTAGATGAACAGTTAAAGTAACCGACTGGTGAAATGTGATGGCGGGCGGCGGGGATGCAATCCCTCAACCTCACAATTCACGAAGCAATTTTCACGGTAACTTCCAAAAAAGAAGGATATGTATGTACAAGAATGGTATACAATACCGACAAGATGAAATTGAGACACATGTGCAACATCTGGGTATCTTTATTGTAGACGTTTCGCCATCCAGTGGCTTTATCAATACAAATTCCAGGCCATAACTTGAAGACAGGAGAACTATGTACAGAAGATGAGGTAATCAGTCCCTCAACCTAGCAGTAGGTGCGAAGAGCACCATAGTCGTGGAGAATCTCCACGACTATGGTGCTCTTCGTACCTACTGCTAGGTTGAGGGACTGATTACCTCATCTTCTGTACATAGTTCTCCTGTCTTCAAGTTATGTCCTGGAATTTGTATTGATAAAGCCACTGGATGGCGAAACGTCTACAATAAAGATACCCAGATGTTGCACATGTGTCTCAATTTCATCAAGGATATGCATGTTCATAAGATTCATAAATTAGTCATTTAACCTAAGTAAATAGGATTTAATCATACATAGATTAATATAAAGCAAGGTGATATAAGTAACCTATGTACTTATATCATAAGTGAGAGCAAGTACATCTGCGCATAGCGACACTGGCACTACTCCACCACAGGACAGGTGTGGGTGGCATCACTGATGTCTGTGGTGGTGGCCACGGTGCTCTACCACTTCGTCTTCAGAACACAGGGCACCTTCGGTTTCACTACGCTGACTCCCTCCGGAGCCTTTATATACGTTTTCGGTTCCTTCCTCAGTCAACCGCTTCCCAGTATGCCTTGGTTTTCTGCTGGTAAGGTAAGCTTTGATCCTCGTCACCTTAGTTCTTTGCTGGTAAAGAAAGCTTCTCTCTCACCAGCATGCACTCAGTCTCTTTTGACAAGGTAAGCTTTGCTCCCCAGCATACCCTCTCTACCTATAATTAAGCTTTGCTCCCCAGCATACCTTCTCTACCTATAATTAAGCTTTGCTCCCCAGCACACCCTGGGGCCTGGCTTGCTAGGTAAACTTACTGAATGTTCAACACTTTCACTTTTATGCATTAAAACTTCCCCGACACTTTCCATTAGCATATAATTTAAAAGTTCTGATAGTTTGTGTGCTTTATTGCAGGTATTGCCGATAATCTATTTTATTTTTCTTACATATGTATACTAATATTTCCACTATTTTTCTACTTTACTATTCCTCTTTTCGTTCACCTCCCGGTCCCGTCAACCTCCCCTTTGTATATACTGGCTATCTTCCCTTCACGCTTCTGTGTGACATTTAATGGTCCAAGTCGGACCGAAACGTCTTCATAACTTTCATTCTTCTATGTGCAGGTTATCTGTGTATTATTCCAGCCAAGACGATATTGTGTCTGCTTTTTTATTCTCTTCCACTGGGATCCCTGTATCTCTTAGGTATACTCCAGGTATACAAGAAGTTCGAACCTAATTGCCTTCCATTCCCTTAGGCTCTGTATGACCCCTATGGGTTTACCGTTTCCCTGTGAATGGAATAATAATTCATAGTACGTTTATTCAGGTATAGGCACACAAATATAGTTACATAAATTACCACACAAAGTATATGTGTAGATTACCTAGGATAACCCAAAAAAGTCAAAGTGACTTATTTCCATTATGTATACAGGATTACACATGTATGATCATTGTCTTGAAGTCATGAGTAAGCAAAAATGAAAACACTCCTCCGGTACGAAGTGACATAAACTGTTATTACTGCAGTCCTGGTAAGTTTATTGATGGAGGTACTAGGAAGGACGAAATAAAAAAAAATCTTAAGTTACCCCAACTAGGATAGAAAAGTTATCACAGAAAACTAATATATATTGTAGGGGTGACTACATAATATTATAAGCCGTCATTATTTAGGCTTTTGTATACAACTTCCACATTGTTTTACAACGGTCTTGTGTCTGTCACCACCTGTTGGCGTCACATCACCAGTTTGCAATTCTTGATTATAATGGCGCTTCCTGACGCGGCTTGGCGCCTAATGGAAATAAGTCACTTTGACGTTTTTGGGGATACCCTGGGTAATCTACACTTATGCTGCTAGTAAGTAAGTAAGTAAGTTTATTCAGGTATACACAAATACAGTTACATAGAATTATCATACATAGCAACATATGTGTAGAGAACCTAGGATAACCCAAAAAAGTCAGACAGAGTGACTTATTTCCATTGGGGTCCTTTTACCTTATTATTATAATATAAAGGTTATAATATTTTCTTATTATTCTATAATGAAGATAACATCTTACTATCATACTAAAAAGACTACTACACGAGGGTCATTAACACTATCTACAATACGAGGGTCATTACTAGGAATAAGGTAAAATTTACACGTATGTTAGATAAAAAATAGAAAATCATTCCCCTCCCTTTCTGTAGCTACATTCATCAGACACCTTTTGGCACTCTTCTTGAACTGGTTCATGCTATGACTGGCTTTGACATGTGCGGGTAGTCTGTTCCATTCCTTTATTGCTGTACAATTAAAGGTGTTTGAAGCCTGGCCAATGACTGTGGGTACTACAAAGTTGTGCTCTCTCCCCCTAGTGCGATGATTGCTTTGGTTCCCAACCTTGACAAAATTGACAGCAAGATATTCTGGACACTGTTTGTGAGCAATTTTATAAAAATGATTTAGCTTCAGTTGTTTTACTCTGTCTTCAACATTCAGCATATCCAACTGCTGTAATTCATCCTGGCCTACATGTTCTCTTGGTCCCAGCCCCAGGATGAATCTTACGATTTTGTTCTGGGTGATTTGCAGTCTGTCTTTCAGTTTTTTTGTCAAGGCAGAGTACCATGAAGAGCAAACGTAATCCATATGGCATTGCATAAGGGCTAGACATAGGGTCCTGCGAGCCTCAGTAGGTAGACACTGTGCTTGTCTATACAGGAACTTCAGTCTGGCATTCGCTTTCTTTACTACACTGTTCCATATCAATTCTCCTGACATGCATGGGTCAAAGGGAATTCCCAAATATTTTACTGATGAAACCAAAGTGATGGGCTCCCCATTACATTGAACATTAAAGTTATTTACCCTTCTCAGTTTATGTTTCGTGCCAAAGAGAATGGCTTCAGTTTTCCCTAGATGTAATGATAGTTTGTTGTCTACTAACCATTTGCTGCAGGACTCCAGTTCCAGTGTTAAAACATTAGCAATATCTTGTGGGTCTTTACCTGACACTAACAGAGCACTGTCATCTGCATACAGTAGGAGTTTGCACTTGACACTGATAGGCATATCATTGACATAACATAAGAATAATAAGGGACCCAGAATACTACCTTGGGGAACTCCACATGTTATCGGCAGGGGTTCTGATTCTGTTTTGTTGATTTTGACTATTTGTCTCCTGTTGCTAAGGTAGGACTTAAACCAGTCTACGGAACCTATACCGATAGCTTGAAGTTTATTACATAATATATTGTGGTTGACAGTATCGAAGGCCTTTTGCAGGTCTAAGGTTACCATACCTATGAGGTTCCCCTTTGACATTTCAGTTCTCAGGTAATCCATCAGATTAATAAGGGAGGTGTCGGTTGAGTAGGATCTTCTAAAGCCCGATTGATAGCTATGGAGAATGTTGTTGTCATTAAGGTACTTAACTACTTGAGAATACACCGCCCTCTCTAGAATTTTAGATATTATACTGAGTATACTAACAGGCCTATAGTTGCTTACATCAGACCTACTATTTTTCTTGAAGATAGGAGTAACTCTGGCCTCCTTGAACCCCTCCGGTACGGTATTAGTGGTGATTGATAGATTTATTATGTGAGCAATAGGGATTGACAGTTCAGAAGCTGTAACTGTATTTAAGTGTACCTGTACCTGAATAAGCTTACTTACCAATGACTTAGCGCCACGTGACGTAACTTGGTGCCACCTAATTAACACACATTAGCATTCTGTCCTTCAGCATGGATGAATGAGGTGTAACATGCGAGAATACGCTTCTTGTTCTCTCGTTTGTAAACTATTTATAATAAGGTATCTTTTAAAGTCTCTATTACTGTAAATATTATTGGAGGTGGGAATGCATGGTAACTCAAAAACCAACTTCAGGTAAATGCTTATGAATGTGGCAGGCGCAATGCACGCTGAAAGTGATAGAATGCTAGTAATGATCTGGGACTATGAAAGCAGATATATCCTTTGTCCTGTCACATAAAGGTGCCTGAATATATCCCTGAAGTCGAGTTCGAAGGCAAACTTACCGGTACATTTACCATTAAAAGCGAAATCTACAACATTGTTCATTCGTGGAAACGGATAGGAGCCAGGCAGAGTGACTTCATTAACTTTTCGGCAGTCCGCATAAATCCAAATTTTGCTGTCTGGTTTCTTTAGAAGATGGGTCGGTAATGTGTGGCCCGTGGGCCGGCTCTGGCCCATAACCCGAAATACTTCAGCCAGCAGTCATCTTGAATTTTAGAGCAAGCGTACACAGTGAAGCTTGGCAGAACTACAATCAGCTGTGGCGGGAAGCGACTCTCTCTTACTACTTTTTTGTATTGAGAATCAGTGCATCGATGTATTCGCATCAAAATTTAATGCAACGGGCGTATCTCTACTAATTTTTTTCAAGAAATATCTTCTTGAAACTGGTATGTATACAAATTTGGTAGATCACGCAAAAAAAAAGGACGTCAATGTTGGGCAGTATTGACATGTTCGAGCAACTCTTCTCAAAAATTAAATACACGAAGAGTAAATTAAGAAACCGACTGATGCCCATTTGGATGACATCTTGCATCTGGCCTCTTCCAGCCTCTCGCCTAATATTGAGAGGCTGGCGAGTATCACACTGACTGCTATTAGACAGAGAGAGAGAGAGAGAGAGAGAGAGAGAGAGAGGAGAGAGAGAGAGAGAGGGAGGGAGGTGAGTGTAGGTTTAATACCAGTGTCTCAAAATAACTGCTATATCCAGTAGACATAATATTGCTCGAGTAAATATATAAATATATGTCAAAGTTTAGAATGTATTATTATTACCTCAGTTTATTAACTATGGTGATTGGTGTGGCTTGTCATCCGCTCACAGACACGGGCCGTGACATTAGGCAGAACAAGGTCACCGACCCCTACTTTAGAAGAATGCAAGGCGAAGTTCAGGGACCTGAAGATTTCCCCACCAACCCATGTTCAAATACGAAGTCGATTTCTTGCTGTAGTAGTTTTGCTTCTCAAGATTAGTTGTGTAGAGACAGTGTTATTGATTTAGCTGTATGTACAGCCACGTCATAAAAAAAAGGACAGGATAGCAGGGAGATATAATACCAGCTATTTGAGTTTTAGTTATGCCGGCCAATAATGGCGATGGATCCTCCAGTAATTTCGAATCTGGCAATCTTACTTCCATTCCGCTGATTTCGTGTAATGTCTCTGACTCGAAACGAGGGTTCGTAGTAACAGCAGGTATAGTCATGATAGGAAGTTCAATTTTTTTTAGTTCTGATTTAGATGGCAGACCTTATCCCCCTGCTGAATTGTCGTGAGGGGCTACCAGTAATTTAGGTCAAATTTCGTTTCCACCATCAACATATGGCCAACATAGCGCTCCTTCAGCGAAAGGCCGGGAATTGGGTTCTGGACCATGGACTTCATTTCCTTTTTTTCAGTATTTGGGTTTAGACACTGTCATAACTCTGTTCCTTGTAAATATGTTGTCAACCCATGGCCCCGCTCATTACCGCCCCGTGGTGCCATTTATCACAAAAGTAATGTCTGGGAAAAAAATAATTTGCTATCCTCTCTCGGACAAATAATGGCTAGCCTCTAATATATCTGCCGGCTTAGTAGCTTTAATGACTGAAATTCAAACGTTGTCATCCAAAAATATGCGATTAACCTCCATAAAAGTATCTAGCGGAATCATCTGCACCAAGTCGCTGAAATCGCAACAACTTCTGCTTTATACCACTGCTTAAATAGTTTAGACAGCCCTCCACTAAAATCTGTCTAATACTATCCAGGTTGACTTTAGTTTAACTTAAAATCTCGTCTTTATTTCGCTGGCATACAATGATAGGAATAGAAAATAGAAGAGATTCATAATGCAGCAATTCACACAATCCTAATCACACAAGCTAGAGGTACATTCCTGTGTCTTGCCTTACAATGCTATGGGACAAGTGCAGCCCAGTGTTCAGTCGGCCATTACAAAGCTCAGTCCTGATTCTCGAACGGTTTGAAGAAATGCTCAGGCTTGGCTTCAAGAGTAAAGCCGTTTGTTTTTATTGTGTTGTTCACAGTGCTGTTGTTGTTGCTTTTGCTATTTATTATTTTGATTAATGTGGTCAGTATATGTATAATAACCTTTGTTATAACTTCAAACATTACCACTATCCACCATCACTCACTCCAACCTTCATTGATTAATGTGGTCATTATGATATGTATAATAACCTTTGTTATAACTTCAAACATTACCATCATCCACCACCACTCACTCCAACCTTCACTATCACCGCCTCACCAACCACTACTACAACAACCACGAAGACCCACCAACCACACCCATCACTACTGACAGGTTTTACTGGGCTTCTGGCTAGTGTACGCCTTCCTGCTGACCACCTACTACAAGACCTCGCTGACGGCGGCCCTGGCGGTGCCTTCGACTCCCCCCACCATCGACACACTCGACCAGCTCCTCCACTCGGATCTCAAGTTCGGCATGATCGACGCAAAGGTAACGCTCACGAAGGCAACGATACATTTGCGCACAGGCGATTCGATTACAATCTTATTCACCGGGAAACCATAAATCTGTAGGGGCCATACAGAGTCTAGGGAATGACAAGTATTCAGATTTAAAGCGATAGAGAAGGGTACCTCTAAGTCGTTCGATCAAGAGCCCTTCGCCAACAACAAATATATTTTGGAGGAGGCGCTAAATCCACAGTTGGCATATAGTACTTTGGGAACATGAGACAATCAGGATCGTTCCCAACGAAGGGAGAAAAATAATGCTATTAAACTCATATCCAGTAAACTTTGTGCCCATGTTCGAACTCCACCAAGTTTCAGTGTATTACCTGCAAGTATATTTCGTTGGAACGATGACTGAACGAGGCAATTTCATGCAGGAAGTGCCTAATCAGCCGTGTTTTGTTGACTGTGTGCGCCTGGGCCTCAAGCAGCAATAACATGACTGAGCAGGCAGTCACTTGGTAAATGTTGCCCTAGCCCAGACTGCGAGAGAAAAGCTCCTGATGTTAGAAGCATGCTACATGTAAGAGGAGTTGACATGAATGATTCATGAGGTGAAATAACAAAAATGCATGTCAGCATCGGCCGTTATTATACGTATATTTAGTGCGCACTCTGAAAGAGAAATGGAACTATGTTTCAGTTTTTAAACTGTAATTTCGACACGCCACTGGCAAAACAGTGATGGAGTGAGTGATATTGAAGGTGTTTCTTCTCCTCTGGGTCACCTGCCTCGGTGGGTAGCAAACGGCGTATTAAAAAAAAAATTGCAGTGGGAGCTTCATTTAGCGATGCGAGAAACTAATATTTGCCTTATAATTTAAGCATAAAACGGTTAAAGAATAAGAAAGATTTAAAAACGTCGGTTATCACAAAACCTGCTGCAGTTTAAAAACGTCGGTTATCACAAAACCTGCTACAGTGTACTGATCCAGGTATCTTGTATTATTCCCAACATTACTATCACCAATTGTTTGATGTATTCACAACCTAACTATGTTTTAGTAATATAAAACACTATTACTCAGATGCATTTCCTATGATTATTTATCCCAACTTTCCATTACCAATTACCACAATTTAGTATTTAGGAACCCTTCCTTTTCAGTAAATAAATGTGGAAAAAGTAATAGTTTTTCTTCTCAACAGGGTTCGCAGTACCATCTTCTCCATGTCCAACGTCTCGTCACAGAAATCTTTAACGTATGGGCTTCAACTTTTCCTCGGAGGAACGGGTGGGGGTCCAAGGTACCTTATTACTTCTTTGTACTCAGAGATCATCAGCACGTTACTCTCAATGGCCGAGACTCTTATCACTTTGCCACCGAAGAGTTTTTTCCTGGAGGATACGGTATGGGCGTTCCCCAAGGTAAGTAACTTTGTGCTTTTGTGCTTTTAGAAGTATTCCTGCTGACGTTCAGTCTTTATCACAACGCCTCCATTTGATTTTCTATCATCTTTTAACAACATTGATATACGCTATCACCTGGCAAACTTGTTCGTCTGTTAATAAGTTTAGAATTTTACTTACTTATGAAAAGAATTTTCTTATTATTGATCAATCTTGTTTACCAACGTCAGTGCTGAAACGTATCGTCATACTTTAGAATCACTGACGACACGGCCATACTTTGCCCTCAAATTGCATCGATCTGAAAGATAAATGTTTGAATTTTAACTACTTCAATGCAAAAGCAATTTTCACAAATAATAATACATCATGGTAATGGGCAGCCCCCTCAGTGCTGGGCTATTTGTAGAGTACCGAGAGGAAGAGAAATTTCACATCATGATTCTGAGTACCGTAAGGTTGTTAAGGTACATGTGTGTGATCCTGGTGTTGTATCCAATATGGTTCAGTATTCAAAACTCCCTGAGACAAATTATCACGGTGGAGCCAACCATTTAAGTTACCTTAGAGCTTGAGAAAAATGGCTTCCCCTTCTTAGACTTCCTTCTATTCAAATTACCTGAGAGCGATACCTTCTCTTTTAAAGTGTACAGGAAGCCTATTAACAAGGACTACCGGATACACTTCCGCTCGTATTATGACACACCAGGAGGAGCTTAGTGACTGGATTCTTTCTGAAATTCCTCCACTATATCCAGTCCTGATTTCCTGTAAGAAAAATGCACTTACATTCTACAGCACCTTCAGACGTCTTCACTACCCCCACGTTCATCCACAACTATACACCACAAAGAGGCACTAAGCCCTCCTGTGTGGTGATGTGGCAAACGCACTTAGAACACTTGCCGAGAGCGATATCAAAGTGTCCTCGACATTTACCGCCTCCGTCAGAAATCTTACTAATAAGCGGGCCACTGTTACTTCCCAGTGTCTACTACTGGTGTTTATAGTATCCCATGCTGACACTGTGACAGGAAGTACGAGCGGGAGACTGGTAAGGGACTTCTTAATGGAATCGAAGAACGCATACGCGCATAGCAAGGATGATTTATAGATACAGAGGGACATTTAATGAAATGGAATAAAACCCAGCTGGCATCAGGGAGACGGATTAAGGAGAAGCCAGTGTTCAGAAGCATCCCTGATTGCAGTAACAAATACGGTAGAACAGAAAGCAGGATGTTATATCGTATCTACCACATTGTCACACGTGCCTCTTGAACATGCATCGCCCTGCCCACCTCGAGGCAACCATCAGATGAAACACATAAATGAAGGAGCACCGCTAGAGGTTTGCTGGCCCGTGCTAGTAAGCCTATTCTAAAATATTTGACCAACATATTTTAAAGCTACCTAGTGACTCCACTTGCTGATCTCACAACTCTTCAGCTGATCCGACTTCGCTAAAACCCCAACTTACCTCACATGTGTCATGCCAATATAAACCACCTACGTCTTCTTGGTATATGTATGGAGTGAACGAAGTCACAGGACTTAAACGTTTCAATATAAATGTCCTGAGTGTTTTTAACCACAACTTTTCGGGATTGCATAACAGGTGTATATGAAATATGTGGATCTGAAGCACGCAGGTAAATACATACGTACTTCAAAACGACAGGCAAACTTCAAGACTGAGCCTTATATGCACATGTAGCATAAGCCTAATTATTAACTGTGTTAGGGTTCAAGCCTATCGAATGCTCGAGGGTTAATGGGTCTGTAATTAACCTATGAACTATCAATCAAGGATAGGCTAATCCACATAATGCTGATTAAAGAAATCACTCGGGAACATACACCGTTCATGGCTGAAATAATACATCACGTTCTCTTCACAGGGAGCTCTTTACCGGAGAACATTTGACAACATCATGTGGCGATGCGTCCAGGCTGGCCTGATAAACAAGTGGCTGAAGGACTTGTATGCTGTATACCTGGAAGAGAACATGGAGCAGCAGACGCCGGAGGAGAGGAAGCAGCTGGAAGCTGTTGCCCAGGCCCCGCGAGATAATGACGGTCGGGTGAGGCAACATTTATTTATTTTTATTACGTAGTTGAATTTTCAGAGCCTGGAGAAGGGTAGGTAATCAAGTCTGATTAGAGGAAGAGGAGAGTAGTTTCAATTCCTTAGATTAACAGCTAAACACTAACATCAAGGCACTCTCCTAGAAGAGTTTTCAGCTACTGTTTTACCTCAAAGCCGAGTTCTAAAGTACACCACCTTTGCCAGTATGTGAATCGCATCAGCTGACACTCTGGCACCTATTTACTGCTCAGTGAACAAGAGCAACAGGTGCAAGAAGACTTGCCCTTTAATTTCGGCCTCCCTGAAAAATTAAACCGGGTGATAAGTAAAACATGTCGGTCTTGTATACTGTTTATAATATGAACTGACCCAGATGATGAGTAAGCCACAGTGCCTCGTGGCCTGGTGGGAAAGCTCTCACTTCACACGGTGAGAATCCGAGTTCGATTCCCGGCGAGGGTTGAGACATTGGGCGTGTTTCCTTACACCGGTTGTCTATGTTCATCCACCAATAAAAAATGGGTACCTGGGTGTTAGTCGATTGGTGTGGGTCACATCCTGGGACAAAATTGACCTAATTTGCCCGAAATGCTCTGCATAACAAGCGGCTTTCTATACAGTAGTATGTTACTGATGTCACCTAGTCCTGTATAACATGTACTTGTAGAAATAAAGATATTAGAAAAACAGTTTGGTATAATTCAGTTGGTATGGTCATTGATGAGATGTCACACTTGCTCAGCAGACTTCAGTAGAATAAATAAGGTTACTTAAATACTGGCGACAACAAAAGTACTGGGAAGGTAGAGATGAGGTAATCAGTTCCTTAGCCTTGAAGAAGTAAGTTTGAGGTGGTCAGTCCCACAGCCTTGGAAAGTGTTCAGTTCCACAGCTCCGATAAGCTGAATGAAGCTATGGTATTTCTGTCCAGTATTGTTAGGAAACGGCTAATAATTATCCACGAATATTACCATTTTTCAATGAAGGGCTCTGCTTGAAGGCGTTATCAGAGGTAATCAGATTTAATCCAAGGAAGAGGAAGGTAGCTCCTGTTTATTGGATCATGAACCCTCCGCCGGTATCAAGGCACAACTTTCCCTTTGAAGGACCATTCTTAGAGTTACTTTGGGTATGTTTCACAACGAAGCTTTAACGCTTATTACTTCGATATTTCTGAATAGTTATCAGCTGTTACGGAGTCACCGAGACTGGAATTAGTTTTGTTCCTAAGTCATTCGCGGTTTTTATATTCAGTGTCCCTTAGTGTTTTAATAAGATTCACAAATAACCCGCACATACCGTGACGTTTGGGTCCGACTTTTAAATGGTTTAAGTCAGACCCAAACGTCGTCGTATGTGCGGGTTATTTATGTTATTGTTCCAATCACCGTATTGTGCCTTTTTGTTCATTTTAGTAAGATGTTCAAGAACTTATTTGTTTGTACTTTATAATATCGACTCTACATACACTGGCTGTCTTCAAGAAGGCACTAAACAGGCACCTAAACTCAGTACCTGACCAACCGGGCTGTGGGTCGTACGTCAGCTTGCGTGCGGCCAGCAGTAACAGCCTGGCTGATCAGACCCTGATCCACCATGAGGCCTGGTCTCAGACCGGGCCGCGGGGGCGTTGACCCCCCGAAACCCTCTCCAGGTAAACCCAATAAAATAGCTGTCTAACGCAGGGTCAACGGCACCATTGAAAATGGTTTGCCGCAACTGTAAAGGTGTTCAGCTCAATCAGTGCAGCGATCGTCTACCTTGAAGAAGGTCGCCGACTCCAGACTAGGAACTCCTTACACAGTTTTCAAGCATCATCATCCTCTGAAATCCTCATTTTGTTTTCTGCCTTAGTCTTCACAGAAGGTGTTGCTGAACCTTACAGCAGTAGAAATAAATTTACAGGGAACCGCTGAGTCTACAGAGGTCAGAGAGGACCTGGAGAATGGTAAGTAATCATGCTTGTATTAAGGAGAAAAATTCTGCAAATCCTTGAATCAAGAACCATTCACTAGTATAAAGGGACCCTATTTAAAAGTTTTACCTTACAAAACGGAATGTCATTGATGTCCTCCTCTGTCTCAGCTGCAGGTGATGAAGTTTACAAAACTGTTTGCCTTAGCTTTTAATCTATCTGTTATCTTCTGTTTATTTCCCCGCAGGTGGTGCTGAGTTTGAACCATCTACAGGGACCCTTCCTCATCCTGCTCTTGGGAAGTGCCTTGGGGGTTCTTTTCCTCCTCTCAGAGTGTGTCATCGACAGATTCCTTTGCACAGTAACCTTCAGCCAAGTTGTCCCACAACCTCTCAAGACACCAATACTCAGTAAACCAGAGCTTCATCGCACGTCTTCATTGTAATTTACGAGTGAACACTGATATCATCAGGAGAATTGTTAGAAACGCCCCCCCCCCAAAAAAGTTTATTGTTTATCCTGTCAGCAGTGTAGCATTTTGTGTATCCTAGATAATGACGGGCAATCGGTTAAAAAAAGTAGCTAATAAACTTTCGACCTCTGTCAAAGATTTAATATAAAGCCAAGAAAAATGACAACAGTCTTTAGTGAGGGAATTTGTACCATAGCTTGTGGATTGTGCAATAAGAAATAGGTAGGCAAACAGCAAAAATCTCCAGAGTACGTAAACACGCATGAGTGTAACCGCGATGACTTAATGTTTGTGTCTAACACAAGAACGTAAATGGAAGAATTAGAGAAGACAAGTTATTTGTCGCCCCCCCCCCAAGAAAAAAAAAATTGCCAGCATAAGTGTTTAGAGGCTGCCCTGACAACAGTCACCGTCGCCATCTTTCAAAATTCCAGAAGTTATATAGCGTTTCCAGTGTCTTGACACAGTGACGCAGTCACGAAGAATATGTGGGGGGGGGGGGGGGAGGAGAGGCTAATAAGACAGAAAGCCCACCAATTGCAAATACGTTTAATTTTGTTTTTCAATTTATGGCTCATTTTCATTGAGTTATGTTGGTGAGTCATCATACAAGCACGATAGTTTGAGAAATTTCACATACATACTGATAATCATATTTAAAAAAAAAAAAATTTTTTTTCACCATCTAATAATTTTTAAGCCCCGCCATCACCTCACACTCTGAAACCCTGGCTGCGCTACTGTCTTAATAAACTGATTACTACCCAACCTGGATACTGCAGGTTGATGACACCTGCCAGTAAGGTCACGCCTGCTGCCTTCTGCATTACATCCACAAGTTTTCCTTATTTACGCGCACAGTAAACAGGTGATATCACAATATGCAAAACAACCACTGTGAAAAAATAGTGAACATCCCAGAACTTTCGTGACTTCTCACATTTTAGAAACTGTAAAAATAACAGACCAGCTGAAGGCCTATAAAGACGAGATGACACTACACAATCAACACCCGAATGAATAATCTCTTAAGTGGTACAGATATATATTCCAGAATTAGAAAAAATCTCTTAGATTCAGTTAATAATAACTAATAAAATAAAACGTCTACTCAAAGGCAAAGATGAACTAATTAAAAAATCATGGCCACCAATCCATCTTTACCATATATGTATGGATTAATAAAAACACACAAACCAGGTAATCCAGTCAGACCAATTATTAGCTTCATAGGTTCAGTGTCCCATAAATTATCAAAATGGCTAGTAGATATGTTGAGCCCAATGGTTGCCTAAATTTCTAACTTTAGTGTTGAAAATAAGATTTGATTTACTTGATATATTAAGCTCCATCACCGACTTAAATGATTACAATATGGTTAGTTTTGATGTCGCTTTGTTGACAATAGTTCAAGTTGATGATTTATTAAGTTTCTAATCCGAAGAACTTGTTAGTTGCAATTTACCATTCCTAGTACCTACAGTCATTGAGGTTATTAAACTTTGCGTTGCTGATGCAAACTTTGTGTTTAATGGCGAGTTTTACACTCATAAGTTTGGTATGGCAATGGGAAATCCTCTCTCACTTGTTCTTAGCATTTTATACTCGAAATATTTTGAAACAGGATTCCTTAACAAAATCCTTCCTCATATAGCTAAGTGGTACAGATATGTTGATAATGTATTGTGTCTAATGCAAAGAATATAGATATAAACCATCTTCCTCTTGAATTAAATAATCTACCACATTCCATAAATTTTATTGTTGAGTTTGAACAAAATAACTCATTGTCTTTTTAAGATGTCTTAATTATTAATAGGAACCATAATTTTAAATTTAAAATATAGAGAAAACCAACAAATAACTGTTCTTATGTGCACTATTATTCTTTACGTAAAGACAAAGTTAAACTTTTTGTATTCATATACATGTTTTGATTGCGTATCAGCAGCAAAAAGTTCATAGATACAGAAATCTTGAAGATTTATGAAATAGCTAATGACCTAAAATACAATACATACTTAATTGATAAGTCTTTAAAATCGATGGAAATACATTTCTATAATTTAAAAAAGGACAATCATATTAAACCAAGAATATGTTGGTTGCCAATTACCATGACAACCTTTTTGATATATCTTCTCTAATTAAGAATTTTAAAATCAAAGTTGTATTTAAAATTCTTGACATAGTAAAAAAAAAAACCGAGTAAAAATCTCCCCAAAAAATGCTGACGGCTGTGTCTACAAATATTCCTTGTAAAATGAATAATGAAGATTATTACTGGGAAACGCCTTTACTAAGATTACAAAAATATAAATATAGCATTAGAACTGAACAAGAGTCTGATGCTCTGTTTATACACGTGAGAGATTTTAACCATCCAACCGGTTTTCAAAATGCCGAGAAAGTTGAATCAAGCAAGTCCATGGTTGAGAGAAATATAATTAATCAAGTTTCATAAAAAAAAATATTGATTTTAATATGAATATTAGTTAAGGATTACGTAAATTAGATTAAAATATAACTATTAAAATTTGGGAAGAATTTAAGCAATATTTGACAAGTCCTTGACTATCTTCCGCGCATCATCATAAAGGAGAGGTGAAGTGTCGGATGTTCACTGTATAGTGTCATCTCGTCTTTATAAGCCTCCAGCTGTTCTATTATTTTTACAGTTCCTTGACAATGTGAGAAATTACATATACATAATATATATATAATATATATAATGTCGTGTTGAATAGGTAAAACTGGTCAGTTAGCAAGAACTCACTTAAAATTAAATCCTTTCTAAAATTTTCTCTTATACGTTTAAAGATATTTTATTTATGTTAATGTAAAAATTAATAATTTTGTACCAGAAGAACTTTAGAAAACTTTCCTAACCTTATTATAACAAGCGCAATTTAATTTAGCCTAATCAGCTAAATATATTTTAGACAAGTTTACAATAATTTAATAATAAATACAATGAAATATATTTTTTCGTTAGATTCAGAATGATTTTTGCGAAATTACTGCATACACAAATTTTCACTTGCCTTATTCAGCAAGAAGAGCGTTGCTATTTAAGCCAAAATCGCAAGTTTTGCTTATTCGACACGACAATATATATATATATATATATATATATATATATATATATATTATATATATATATATATATCATGATATATATATATATTATATATTATATGTCGTGCCGAATAGTTAAAACTGGTCAATTAGCAAGAACTCTTTAAAATTAAGCCCTTTCTGAATTTTCTCTTATACGTTTAAAGATATATTTTTTTCATTAATGTTAATGTAGAAATTTTTAATTTTGCACCAAGGAATCTTAGAAAACTTTACCTAACCTTATTAAACAAGAGCAATTTATTTTAGCCTAACCCAACTAAATATATTTTAAATACTTTACAATAATTTAGTACTAAACAAACACAATCAAATATATTTTTTTCGTTAGGTTCAGAATGATTTTGGCGAAATTATTGCATACACAAATTTTCACTTGTCCTATATGGCAAGATGAGCGTTGCTATTTAAGCCAAGATCGCAAGTTCTGCCTATTCGGCACGACATATATATATATATATATATATATATATATATATATATATATATATATATATATATATATATATATATATATATACTTGGAGTATACCTGGAGAGGGTTTCGGGGTTCAACGCTCCCGTGGCCCGGTCTTTGACCAAGCCTCATGGTGGATCCGGGCCTGATCAACCAGGTTGTTACTGTTGGCAGCATGCAACCCTACGTACGAACCACAGCCCGGCTGGTCAGGTACTGAATACAGGTGCCTGTCTAGCGCCTTCTTGAAGACAGCCAGGGGGTCTGTTGGCAATCCTCCTTATGTATGCTGAGAGACAGCTGAACAGTCTTGGGCCCATGACACTTATTGTGTTGTCTCTTATCGTGTTAGTGGCGCTCCTGCTTTTCATTGGGGGGGGGGATGTTGCATTGTCTGCCTTGTCTTTTGCTTTCATAGAGAGTGATTTTAGTGTGTAAGTTTGGTACTAATCCCACTAGGATTTTCCAAGAGTAATCACCTCTCTCTCCCGCCTGCGTTCTAGGGAGTACAAGTTGAGGAATTTCAAGCGTTCCCAGTAATTAAGGTGTTTTATCGCAGTTGTGTGTGGCTTGAAGTTTCTCTGTACATTTTGTAGGTCAGCAATTTCACCTGCCTTGAAAGGTGCTGTTAGTGTGCAGCAATATTCTAGCCTAGACAGAACAAGCGACCTGAAGAGTGCCATCACTGGTTTGGCATCCCTAGTTTTGAAGGTTCTCACTATCCATCCTGTCATTTTTCTAGATGTGACTGATACAATGTTGTGATCTTTGAAAGTGAGATCCTCCGACATTATCACTCCCAGGTCTCTTAAATTAGTTTTTGCTCTACTGTGTGGTTGAAATTTGCTTTATATTCCGATATAGTTTTAATTCCCTCACGTTTTCCATATCGGAAAGAAGAAATCGCAGTAAAACGCGTGATTGCAAATATGAAAAAAATTCAGTGAAAATAGGAAATAAAACCCTAGCGTTCTCATGTGCTTATCCGCAAGAGGCTTCACTAGCATCCTGACACCCACCGCGAAGACTGTACGGACCCGTCATGTGTGTCAGGTGACCGCTCGAAAGAATTACAACGCTCGTAGCTTACGTTTGCGGCCTCCCTTGTACTGGCAGTTCCTGGCTCCATAGTTAACCTATTTTATCATAATGACCTAATGCTACTAGTGAACGCCAACTTGTATGTGCTGGCGACGGATGTTGTGATACACACCAAGGATACAGAAAGCTGCACGACGGAATTACGAAATCGTACTTACTCGATTGTAAACAAATCACGGAATGCACCAGCCTGTGAGTTTCAGGATTCACTTGCCATGGTTCAAGCCTCATCCGTTCCGTGATTTGATTAACTTAAAGACACTTTAAGCAGAGAGATCATTATTATACGACGTTTCGTCTACGGGAAAGCATCACCGACAGTGGATTGAAACATCGAAAAACTGTTTTTCCTCGCATAATGTGTCTATGAATCTCCACTAGTCGGTTTATGCTATTGTCCACCAATAAAAGAATTGCAATACAGATTTTTTTCTGAGTTCACTGGACTGTGAAAATCCCTATTGTTGTGCTAAATATTGTTTTTATACAATACATCTGCCAGTGATTTGTCAATTTATTTTTTAATCAGCTTCAAGTCTTTAGGCACAAGAGATAATAGCCTCATTGTATTTTTATAGGAATTCTTGAAATATAAAGAGAGGGAGGGGGGGAGGGGGGAGGGGGGGAGAGAGAGAGAGAGAAAAGGAGGAGAGAGGGGAGAAGAGAGAGGAATTGATGTAACAACTCTTAGCTTGTTATAAAGGTAGGAACCCTTAAAAAACCTTTTAAAAACCTTTGGGAAAAAGAGAGAAAGAGAAAGTGAGTGACAATTCAACAAGAACGATGGTGTTAGTGGGCGCAGAGTTTCTGCTGAAATGATGTAGAACACGAGGAAGGCCCAAAAAAAGAAGCGACACACAAAAAAAGCAAGAGAGAAAAAGAACAGGGGTTTGCGACGCTTTTTGGGGTTTCGCGGGCCCCCCTAAGTGAATGGATCATTGACCGATTCTGGAAGCTCTTCTTGCCCCGACGAAAAACATCGGCTCCAGACGAAATGGAGCCCCCCCGAGGGGGAAAAAAAATAAAACCATTGCATTAAACAATGCCATGGTGACTTTACTCCTTCTTTTGACTCACTGTTTTGACACCGGTGCATTAGTTTTTTAGTGGTTAGGTTTGTAAGGTTCGTCGGAAACATGACAAGTGTTTTGTGACGCAAGGGTCTTTGTAGGGAAGTGCTAAAAAAATTGAAAAATTTCACAGCGCTTGGGGGAAAGGAATTAATTTGGTTTGATCCCTTTAAGGGAACTACGTTCCCTGGTCAAAGTTTTTTACCCGCATCAAGGGCACCCCCGTTTGAAAGGGCCCGGGTATTTCGTATCATTTTTTTTTAAATTGCCGTGAAAAAAAATACTATTTGTCTTCGAAAATGTCGAGATTTGGGGAAAAAAAAAAGGAAGCGAAAAAAAAGAAAGGTGGAGAAAAATAAGGATAAAAGGATTGGGCAAATTTGCAGAAAATGGACGGGGAGGCTAAGACTTTTCAAAATCAACACGAGTCTTGTTTCAAAGAAACACGAACTAAGAGGGCGGCGGAATTTTTCAAGAACTAAGAATAAAAAATCCTTTTTTGACTCCCTGATTTGCTCGGCAAAGCCCATTTACAAATTCTTTTTTGTTTGCCCGTCAGTTTTGCAAAAAATGATTTTTTTTTAAAAGAAAAAAGCTAATTTGCAGAAATGATAAGGGCACCCGGGGTTAGGAGTAAACGGTTTTTTAAAAGGTAGGAAGGATATATCTGATTTACTGGATCAAGGTTCTTCCCGGTTTTAAGGGAAAGCGTCTAAAAAAATATTGAAGTCAATGACTAACAGCTTGTTGGGTAAAAGGACACAAGTGTAACTAATGTGACATTTTATTGTGGCAACGTTTCGCTCTCCAGGAGCTTTGTTATGCGTTGCCTCAATAAAACGTCACGTTAGTTGCACTTGTGTCCTTTTACCTAACACATTATCGGTAATTGTACCATCGTTAATACGACTGACAGCTTGTTCCAAGCCCCTACAACTCTCGTTACCTAACAAGTGCTTTCAGATATCTTTTCTACGTCAGAATTTATCCAGTTTCAACACAAAACCACGAATTGCTCTGATGTGGTATTTTTTTTAACACTATTTATATCGCCTTTATTCATTTTTTTTATCTGAACGTCAATCATATCCTCCTTAATTCTACTTAAGTCCTTATATTGGCGGCTGTCTTAAACGGGGTATCCAAGATAGGTGCAGAAAAATAGAATGGGGGAGAGGGGGAGAGAGAGAGAGAGAGAGAGAGAGAGAGAGAGAGAGAGAGAGAGAGAGAGAGAGAGAGAGAGAGAGAGAGAGAGAGAGAGAGAGAGAGAGAGAGAGAGACCGAGACCCGTATGGGTTATGCAGCACTTGGGAATAGGAGGCAAATTAATTTAATTTGATCGTAAGAAGGGAGTACATATAACTCCTTAACTTCAATATTGCATTTGGTTTGATCATCTGTGTGTCCCCTAAACTGCCAGAAGTACTTGTAACGAAGCCTAAGCCTGGCCACTACATCATCAGTCTGTTCACATTGCATTTAGGCGCCTCCCCATATAACTTTGGTATATCTGTGTCTAGCATTAGGAATAATATTAAGAGCGAAGTAAATAGTGAAAATGATTGTTATAGGAATGCATTTAGAAGTCTGAGTACATCTATAACCCACTATGAAAACATGAACGTAGATAAGTATGTTTATGGAGCAACTTGCAATGTGAACAGACAGACTCATGTTGTAGTGGCCAGGCTTAGGCTTGGTTACAAGTACTTTTGGCAGTCTGGGAGACGCAGAGATGATCATCAAACCAAATGCAAATTATGCGACCAGGAATATGGTCACTCCCCGAATACTATGTGGTTAATTGTCCATTTATTGAGGAATATAGAGATAATTTAATAACCTATGTGACATGGCAAGATATTTTATTAATGGAAATAAGATACCAGATATACCAAGAAAATTTCCTAAATTTACTTGTAACAGATAAGTGAACTGTAGATATAAATTCGAATGTACTTGTGTTAACCCTTCTGGGGTCTAGTTCCTAGGCGTTTTCTGTATCCATATGCTCTTGCGCTACCGTCCACATAATGGATATAGGTGCACAATAAACTAGCCACTTCGGTGGCAAAATTTAATCTTCCCATATTGACGGGGGACAGAGAGAGAGAGAGAGAGAGAGAGAGAGAGAGAGAGAGAGAGAGAGAATGATGGGGGAAGAGAGAGAATGATGGGGGAAGGGAGAGGAGGGGAGACTACTACAGTCCTAGACAATTAAGAGCCTCCCATCACTGGAGGGCGTGGGTGGGGTGGTTGGGGGTAGCAACAGCCTGAGTGGTCAAATCCTTCACTGCTCCGCTCCCCACCATCCATTGACCTTGGCAGCTTCCTTCACAAAGGAACTTTAAATTACTCATCTGGGCAGTAAATAAAACGCCAGAAGAAAGTGAGAAATCCCATAAAGATGTTGATCTAATAAAGACCGTCGGCCGGTTAAAAGAGCACGAACTCTGTCATGGATCCCAAGCGCCAAACTTTGGGTATTCGAACTTCCTTTGAAAACGTCGCCACACTTTAATTAGAAGTGTTTTTCTTGTTTGACTTGATCTTTGTGAGCGAAGAGGACCTGCGTGCAAAAAAAACCTTGTTTTTTAACGTTTCGTCATGTTATTCTGCTATGATTTCTGGAATACTTGTTAAACACTTTGTGAAGTTTAATGTTATATACACAGTGTTAGCGGCTCGTATGTTGTAATAAAGTTGGTAGAATTACCGACAATATGTAAAGTAAAAGGACACAAGTGCAACTAATGTGACATTTTATTGTGGCAACGTTTCGCTCTCCAGGAGCTTTATCAAGCCATTGATAAAGCTCCTGGAGAGCGAAACGTTGCCACAATAAAATGTTACATTAGTTGCACTTGTGGGCTCGTATGTTATTTATTTTAAAGTTGAGAAAGTATCAGTAACACTGTTGAATGTTTAGATGCTTCCGGAGCGGCTACGTCACTGCCTCGTTGGCTCCTCACGTCGACTTACCTAGTGTTTTTAATTATTCGTTCCATATGGCATTCAAAGTATCGAAAACACTGACAGATATAACAAATAAATCCATTATTAAATAACTACAATAAGAATTAAACCATCCGTCAGTTGGTAGCAAGCGATGGGTTGTGGTGAAGTCAGCCATAGACACGGGTGCGAACGTAGCTTGACACTCCTGCCATCCACCACCTTACGTACTACAAGTTATCCTCATTTTACTACGTCACTTTTACTCTTATTTTTATTTTTAAATTTTAATGTTCGAGCTTAACCACTAATAAAAATAAAAAAAAATCCGCACCTCTTATGGCAACGCATTGGCCGAGAGAAAAAAAAGGTTGAACTCTTAATGTTCATCACTTGAGGATAAAGATCTACTATCACAGCCATACCGTGTTCACAAGTTCCTATCCTGCTGTCAACAACCTGTTCTCCAAATAAAACCTCGTTTTCTAACGCATTTCTGCTGACCTATGCCTTATAATTTAAGTATGTTCGAGGTTAGGTTGGAGATGGACAAGAGATGGTGGCAACTGTTTCCTGAGGCGGGTCTTAGCCGTTCCATGACCCGCCAACGGAACTTCTGGTCATCTGACAAAGGCCTTCCAATGGCTTACCGGTCACCCCTTAAAAAAAAAATTAAGGTTCTTCCCGTGTGCATGATCGCCGGCGGGTGCTACTAGCGGTGTTAACAAGACCTGCATCAGTGTCCTCCAACTGATGCAGGTCTTGTTAACACCGGCCAACAAGCTGACATGATGGCCTGTAACCCTCGGGTGGTGAAGGCCAGTTTGAAGCCTTTCACTCCACTGTTCTCGTGTTCCACGATACAGACTCTCACACCCTAACCTGGTGGTATTTAGGTATACTATTTTCTTTTTTTTTGTATTAATAACCAATAGGATTAGCAACCCAGGATAACTGAAGATAGGCAAGTAGACTGGCTTATTTCCAAAGGAGTTCTTGATTCTCTTTCTCAGGATGTTATCCACAAGAGTCGGCTAACAACTAGTTATCAACTGATGGCTAAGTGAACATGAAAACAAATGTATGGAAAATGCATAATGTTTTTACCCGCACAAGGATCAAACAAGGATGCGAACCGATGGCTATTAATGTATATTGGTCGCCACTGCACAATATCATCCATGAATGGGATACTGAAGATGTGCAAACGCGCTTGTTTGCCTCTCTTCTCACTCCCTTGCTATTGTGAAATACTTTGGCGGAGCAGACTGAGAAATCTCTCCTCATCCTCCTCCTCCTCTCTTCTGCTACCAGATAATATATTACATATTGTTGGATATAATACAATGAATAATTATCAACTTACCTTCAAAATATCTGACAAGTATCTGGCCACAGGTCCACTAGGCTACTCTCCTCAAGCACAGTTATTATCTTCAGTACGGTGGTGCTGGTCAAGGTGGTGATGAAAATAAAATCACCGCGTAATCTGATAAAAGCTAATCGAGTTTCTTCAGTGAGAACTGTCCTCTGAATTTTAGCAAAGGAGATAAACTCTTCACTGTATTCTGTATGTCAAACACTGCACAAAGTCCTTACACAACTCACACACAAAAAAATCAGACTGATTAAAGTAATAATTATCTCAATCAATGCATGGTCTACAAGGGTAAGAATCACAGCTCTTTACCACACGACTGCTGACCGTGTGTGTGCATTGTGCACTTGATCGATCTGAGTGGTGTGTCGGATTCAGCGCCTATCAACTACTTGAGGGCCATTAAGCCCGCAGTTCACCTGTACACTAACATGAAGAATATTTTCATCTTTAAAGCAAGAATGTACTGGGTGTATTGTTATACACATGAAAAAGCACCGATCCCATAAGATCACACAAAGCCTGAGGAACGGAAGAATAGTCAAGTCTGATCGTAGAAAGGGAATGCCTGCTACAATACCTTGTTTTCAGAGCACATTTCAGGTTTACCTGGAGGGTGCTCGGGGGGGGGTCAACTCCCCCGCGGGTAGGTTCATGACCTAGTGCATCAAAAAAAAAAAAAAAAAAAAGCACCTCTGCCCCTGCCTTGAAGGGATAACAAATTAAGTAAACTCTTAATGTATATGCACTGAGAGACAAGCTGAGTGGACGAAGGACTGAGCGTCCATCACTCCTTTATTGCGACTATTCCACACAGGTTCAGAAATTTGCATGACGAATAATAATTAAAAAATATTGTTTTTATTTGCTTCTAAACCAGTGAAAGAGTGAGTGAGAGAGAAAAGAGAGTGAGCGTGTCATCACCTACATACTCAGACAGTTGACAAGCCAAATGAATATAGCCGTGTGAAGCAGCCAGACCAAAAATAAAAAGGAAAATAAAAAAAATAGTCTCGCTTCCCAGACTTCCATTGAAGAATAACAATACGTGACACGGAGTTAACACCAAGTGACTGAACCACAACCCCTGCACGCCTCCTTCCCTACCCCCCCACCTCCCTCACCTCTCACAGCCCCGCCCACAAAACAACTATTCCCCCACCTCCAACGCAACCCCTTTCCCTCCACCAACAACTGTTACCCCACCCATAGAGTAATCCCCTTAAAACAGCAGATACTGGGATTTTGAGGAGGGTGGGTGGGGGAGGGATATCGGTATTAAGGGCATTGAGTTTAGATGTGGGAGGTGTGGAAGAGTCTGTGCAGCGTGCTTTGGTCTACATCATAACTGATTTTGTTTTCGTATCATGGGTCATGAGGGGTAATGGGGATTGGATGGTGCGAAAGAAGGTATTGGCTGCAACAATGTACAAAACACTTAGTCGTAATAGGGGGATATATGGAAGTAGATGGGAAAGGGTTTTTCCTGAAGGATATCGAAGTATGAATGTCAGAGGTTTGTTGGCGGAGTGAGGGGAAAAAAAAAAGGGGGGGGGGATGTGTTTGGATTTTCAGGGGTTGCACCGGGCTCGTCTCAGAATTTGGGAATGTATGAGGAGTTCCGTGATATGGTGTGAAATGGCAGCGTAGTTGTGGAGTGTGTTTTAAGTAAGTTTGTGGTGGTTTGTAAGGGAAAAGTTGTTAAGATTTTTATGGACATGGGAATGAGCAATATTTGTGTGCATGTGAAAAGTATACGGTCATACTCAGGATGGTATACTGATGTTATGGATAAGTTAAATTTGGAATATGTTGTAATGTATTATCAGGACTGGTGGTTGTATTAAAGCAAAGGACATGCGGGCGTGATAAATATGTCTGTGTACCAAATGTACTGCTAATAATGAGAAGAATACAATGTGTGTGATTTTTATCATACATTAAGTGTATATAGCAGTATGTAAGAGAGAATTTCATGTACTCAGTATGGGTTGTATATTGGTATTCGGTGAAGTTCAAGGAATATTATTGACGAGTGATGGGTATATAAGGATGTGTTGATGTACAATGTGTTAAGTAGGGTTAGGATGGTGAGGCAAGAAATGCTGCGGTCTGTAGAATAAGAATATAGTCTCGTTTAAGTTAATGTTTAATAGTAATGACTATGTATATTTCATTATATGGTAGAAGAAGTTTGTTACTCAACACTGGAAATTATATTTGAAAAATATTACTAAATATACGTGATTGTGTAAGTTCGCTTGTGGTGATGAATGTAGTGTATGGACGTGAGGTGGGACGAATGTAGTGTATGGAAGTGAGGTGGGACGAATGTAGTGTATGGAAGTGAGGTGGGACGAATGTAGTGTATGGAAGTGAGGTGGGACGAATGTAGTGTATGGAAGTGAGGTGGGACGAATGTAGTGTATGGAAGTGAGGTGGGACGAATGTAGTGTATGGAAGTGAGGTGGGACGAATGTAGTGTATGGAAGTGAGGTGGGACGAATGTAGTGTATGGAAGTGAGGTGGGACGAATGTAGTGTATGGAAGTGAGGTGGGACGAATGTAGTGTATGGAAGTGAGGTGGGACGAATGTAGTGTATTGAAGTGAGGTGGGACGAATGTAGTGTATGGAAGTGAGGTGGGACGAATGTAGTGTATGGAAGTGAGGTGGGACGAATGTAGTGTATGGAAGTGAGGTGGGACGAATGTAGTGTATGGAAGTGAGGTGGGACGAATGTAGTGTATGGAAGTGAGGTGGGACGAATGTAGTGTATGGAAGTGAGGTGGGACGAATGTAGTGTATGGACGTGAGGTGGGACGAATGTAGTGTATGGAAGTGAGGTGGGACGAATGTAGTGTATTGAAGTGAGGTGGGACGAATCATTTGTTATATTATACTGTGTTTATTTTTCTGTGGTGAGGTGTGGAGATTGTTATTTTCAAACCTTTATTTGTTTCGTAATTATTGAGGTGTTACGTATTATGTATTTGATATGAAGTTTAATATACAACAATAGTAAGTGTGTAAAGAATTTTTGGATAATTGAGAATGTCTTCGTACATACAGTTTTATGTAAAATGTCAATAAAAAAATAAAAAAAAAAAAAAAAACAGCAGATACCCCACCTTAAAAAAGAACAATTTCTCATCTCAAAATGGCCCCGTCTTCCACTTCCTCCAAGGAAACCATTTTCTATTCACAAATAACCCGCACATACAATAGAGGAGCTAACGACGACGTTTCGGTCCGACTTGGACCGTAACTTTGTAAATGGTCCAAGTCGGACCGAAACGTCGTCGTTAGCTCCTCTCTTCTATGTGCGGGTTATTTGTGAATTGTTTCAGTGACGATATTTTGCCTTTTTGTTATTTATTTTCCATTCCTCTAAGGCAACTAATACCCTGCACCCAAACAATCCTTTTTTCCCGCCCCGAAGCAACTTCCCACAATTCCAAAGTAACTAATTCCTCCTCCAAACTTACCCCAGCTAAGGATTTGGTTGGAGAAGATAGGTTTAGGGTTAGAGGAGGGATGGGGTGAAGATAAGAAGAAAGTGGAGGGGGGGTCGGAATCGTTAGGAAGAAGGTCTTGGGGTTGCAGAGAACGGGGGGGGGGGTGGGGTTAAAGAGAACTAAAGGAGGTTAAATGGTATAAAATACCGAAACGATGGAAAAATAAATACAAATGCAGTATAATGCAATCCTGTATTGCCTACGTTTCGCCCTGTATGTGACTTGATAAGGTTCACTGTGTGGGCGAAACGTAAGTCAGTAAAGGATCGCATTATTCTGCATTTATGTTTAGTTTTCCAGAACTGAATGATGAAGTAGAGAAGAGGGAAGAGGTTAGGTTGTAGGAGGGGGAGGGGGAAGTTGTAGGAGGTGGAAGGGGGGAAGTTGTAGGAGGGGTGGAGGGGAGGCTGTAGGAGAGGAGGGAAGAATAGTTAAAGAAGTGGCCGGGTGTTGCTAGAGGGGTAAGAGAGGTGGGGGCTAAATGAACTAAACTTACTTCGTGTGTTGAGACTATTTTCCACGAGAGATGTTATGTTGAATTTTTGTTCGTCTTGTCTGGCGAAATAATGGCTCGATGAAAAGGCCAAGCAGGAAAAATATATTTAAAAAAAAAAAAACAGCTCGGTAAATATACTGAATTTCACAAACTTTTTTTTTTTTTTTTCAACAATTTTTGCCACTGGAATAACGCCAGAATTAATTTTTTTTCCAGAACTTGCAGGTGGGAGACTCTGCAGGTCACTGGCAGAAAGAAAATTATTATTTTGAGGAAGTGCTAAACGTGTATGGATCTTACACCTGGGAATGAGAGGAAAGAAGATTTGATCCAAGTGTTGATTACCTCTAATTCTTTGGATCGAGAACTTTTCACCGGGATCATGTCATCCTTCTCGAAGGGAGATGGGAGGGGAAATATCTCTCAGGAAGGGGAGAGGAGAAAGATCTCTTGGGGGAAGGGGTGAAGGGAAAAAACTCTCGGGAGAAGGGAAGGAAGGGGAAAGATTTCTCCATGGAAGGGAAAGAAAGGTTAAGATCTCTCCGGGGGAAGCGGGGAGGAGGGGAAAGATCTCTCTTAGTGAGAGTGTACAAAAATAAATGCGTGCCTTCCTCTTTCCTCCCAGAGTTACAGAGTCGTTGCTGGAGGACCAATTGTTATGACGTCGTCACTGCTGTTCCCAACCCGAGGCGGTTGAAGCGAAATTTGGATTTTTACTCTGCGTGCCTAGCACTGGCGGAAGGCGCCTCGTAGCAGAGCTTTACACGGCTACATCACACAGCTAATCAATTTTCCACTCCCAGTGTCTGGCGAAGACTCAATTACTCTTAAACGAAAAGATTCTACGTAAGTCTTGGCTTTTTTTCAGATATCCGAAACTCCGTAGGAAGGACAGTGGCGCACAAGAAAAAAAAAGAAATCGGAAAATTTCCCTGTCTGGAGGTGTCTGCCAGGATCTTCAGGAAACTAAATAATTCCTTTCACCCACAAACAAAAAGTGAATAACCATATAACGAGTTTCGTGTAAAATAGTCCCAACAACAAAAAATCTCCGCATTTTTCAGCTCGTCGCATTACACGTCACGATCCGGGTTATTACATAATGACAAATTGAGATCGCGTGGGAGTCATCAAACTGACTCTTGTACACTGAAAAGAGAATTTACTGAATTTAATGCTTGTAAACTTTTAAAATAGCGAGAGGAAGGAAGAGAAGGGAGAAACAGACACGGAAGGAAAACTATGAATAACTGAATATACAAGTGACTTAACCTCTTATTACCAAGTAGATAATAACTTACGTGAGGTTTATTATTCAGTACCTTGTGGCTAGTTATGCTTGAAGTAAGTAATAATAGCAGGTTGCATTAGCTCCTGAGAAAACAAAAATAGCATCATGTAATCTCTGAGATTAGCGTATAGATGGAGAGACTGAAATGTTCCATAATTTCCAAAATAACTATAATTTTTAGAGGGGGTGGAACGGTAAACCAGCGGAAGGTCTCAGTCAGATGACCAAAAGCTCCA